CGTCGGACTCGAATGAGCGCCACAGACCTGCTGGTGTGAGGGGAATCAGGGGGCCTGAGTTCTGCGCGCAGCCACGTTTACCAACCAGCCTTGTGACTGGGCTAGACACTGCCTCAGTTTCCTTGTCTGTAAAAAGGGCACCATTACTCTTGGGCTGCCTTCCTCGTGTCGCTATTGGACAAAACAATAATTAAACAAAACAAAAAAAACACTGCCAACTGCTGAGCTCCAGTGACAGCCCCACCTCTCCACCCCCAGGAAGGCTGGCACTGTGCTGGGCGCCCCGGGCGCGGCCTCGCGCTCACCCAGCCAGGGGCCGTGGTTAGGGGCGGAGCGGCAAGGGGGCAGGCCAGAATGCGGCATCTCAGACCGGGAAGGCTCCCCCACCACAAAGCGGTGCCCAGCGAAGGGCCCAGGGGTCAGGGCGGGGAGGAGGGGGAAGCGGGGGAAGCAGGGAGGGCAAAAGTCCCTGCTCGGAGGCCTCACTTCCCCCCGCCCCCCTCGGCGGGCCCCTGGGCAGGTGAAGAGGGGACCGGGCTCCGCTCCAGGTGGCGGGGCAGCGACGGGGGGGGGAAAGGCGGAGGAGGCCGGCGGGCTGCGGGGGAGAGGCTGGTCAGCGGCATCTGGCGACACACCTGCTCCTGCTTAACCCTGTGCGCGCTGGGGCGGGCGCGCGGCGGAGAGGGCTAGCAGACCGCGAAGGGAGAGACGGGGCCGACGGACGGCCAGCCTCCCGGCCTGGTGCCCGGCCTGGTGATCTCGGGACTCGTAGAGATAAGGATCTCTGATCGGACAGTGTTTCTCATACCCTTGGCTGTGCCTCTCGACCCGCGCTGGCCCCTCGGGACGCGGCGCTCGGCTCCCGGGTCTGGCCCCCGGGTGTGCCACCATTGCGCTAGCGTGGGCTCGGGCACTAAGAGGAAGGCAGGGGGTGGCTCCCGAGCCTCGGCGCGGACTCCCCGCCGCCCTCGGGAGCAGCCGCCCGCCGGGGGGCGGCGGGGGGGCCACGGCCATGCCAAGGGCGCGGGGCGCGGGCCAGGCCCAGCGGGCGGCCGCCAGGCGGGGGAGCTAGCACTGGGCGCGCCCTGGCGCTAAGCGCTTCCAGGCGCGGCGCTGCAGGTGAACCCGGGCGCCCAGCGCACCCACCCGGGGCCAGGCCTCGCCGAGGCTCTCTGCGGGTGGGTCGCCGGGGCGGATCCGCCCTCGCGCTGCACCTGCCCGCTCTGGGACCCTAACTTGCGGTTTCCCCCACCCCCACCCCAGGTCTGGCGCGCTCGCCCGCCGCACAATCGGAGCTTGTCTGTGGGCGGAGGAGTCGCGCCGGGTGCGGCGGGGCCGCGGCCGGCCCGC